TTCCAACCCACAATTAGTAATTAGGTACATTCCTTACTCCAGTTTCTTCCTCTGTACAGTTCATGAAACTTTTGTTTTTGATACATATATATTTATATGTGTTTACTAGGACATAGTGTAGGAAGTATTTTTTGGTGATGGACCTCCAACAATTGAAAACACCATTTAACTTGTAGTTGAGGGTTCCTCTTATCAACTGACATATAATCCCTAGCTCTAAAGCTGTTTTACTGATGTCCTTACCTGCCTGCCATAGTCTTCAGTGCAGTCTCCTTGTCTTTATTCAAGTCCCAGCACAATTAGCCTCAGTTTACTTGCATTCCTATTCAATCTCTACTGTACCTGCTAATCTTTTTTTTTTTTGCCAGTCCTGGGGCATGAATGCAGGGCCTGGGCAGTGTCCCTGAGCTCTTTCACTCTAGGCTAGCGCTCTACCATTGAGCCACAGTGCCACTTCCAGCTTTTTCTGTTTATGAGGCAATAAGGAATCAAACCCAGGCCTTCATGCATGCTATGCAAGCACTCTACCACTAAGCCACATTCCCAGCCACTGCACCTACCCCCACCCCTTCCCCCTCCCCCGTCCCTAGTCTTTTTAAACACAGATTATTTGTTCCTTTATTTTTAAAAATATCATAACCTGACATGGTGCCTCAGTGCCTTGTTCTTGCCAAATATTTTCCAAACAATGGAACAAATTCCAGAACAAGTCTTATACTTTACTCTGCATTATTTTTTTTCTTGTTGCTTTCCTGAAGTTTCTCTAGTAGATAATTCTCCTTGACAGCTTTAGGTCTTTTTTGTTTTTCTTCAGATTCCTAGAGCTCATTTATTATTGATTGGGTATAGTCTTAAACTGTGACCTTTTTTTTTTTTTTTGGGTCCGGTCGTGAGGCCTGAACTCTGGGCCTGGGCCCTGTCCCTCAGCTCTTCAGCTCAAGGCTAGTGCTCTACTACTTGAGCCACAGCGCCACTTCCGGCTTTTTTTTTTCTTTTTGCGTATGTGGTGCTGAGGAATCGAACCCAGGGCCTCATGCATGCAAGGCAGGCGCTCTACCACTGAGCCACCTTCCCAGCCCTTAAACTGTGACCTTTATAGGAATTCAGTGGCAGGATTTAGGGGAGCTAGAGCTCTTTCCATATCAGGAACATCTGTGTTGACAGATGTTGAGACTTGACCTGCCTGACACAGGAACACTGTCAGAGTTCCCATTTTCAATATTTAACTACTGAAGATAGTTAAACATTGAAAAATTAATGGAGATAAAAGTAGTAGATACATAATTGATGCTGGGTTAGGAACACCTTTTGAAGCTTTAAAGGTAATGAACATGATATATTTGCATAAAAATTAAAAGCAAAATACTGACAAATGTATGCAGATTTAAAGTCCTTAATACAGAAAACTCATAATTTATTGAAGAATATAAAAACCTACTAGAAATTATGGACAAGAAAATCAATAGAAGAAGAAACCTAAGTAACCATTTTTGTAATGGTTAGTCTTATCAATAGTGGAAAGATAATACATATTTTAGGCATTAACTTATCAGATCAGCAGGATGAAAAAACTCTGGCAAGAGAATTTTAAAACAATCTTTTTTTTTTTTTTTTGGTTGGTCGTGGTGCTTGAACTCTGGGCCTGGACACTGTCCCTCAGCTCTTCAGCTCAAGGCTATCACTTTACCACTTGAGCCACAGAACCACTTCCAGTTTTCTAGTGATTAATTGGAGAGAAGAGTCTCATGAACTTTCTTTCTTTTTTTCTTTTTCTTTTTTTGGGTCCAGTCTGGGGCCTGAACTCTGGGCCTGGGCACTGTCCCTCAGCTCTTCAGCTCAAGGCTAATGCTCTACCACTTGAGCCACAGCACCACTTCCGGCTTTTTTCTTTTTGCTTATGTGGTGCTGAGGAATCGAACCCAGGGCTTCATGCATGCAAGGCAAGTGCTCTACCACTGAGCCACCTCTCCATCCCTCTCACGGACTTTCATACCCAGCTTTGAACTGTGATCCTCAGATCTCAGCCTCCTGAGTAGCTGGGATTATAGGCGTGAGCCACCAGCACCTGTCTAAAACAATCATTTTAATGTGTTTCTTGTAGAAGACATATAGTGTAATATTTGTAGAAAGCAAGCAAGCAAGAAAGTTACTTTTTAACTTAATTTATTTTTGGTGGTACAGGGGTTTGGACTCAGATCTTTGTACTTGAGCCACTTTGACAACCTGTTTTTGCATTGGTTATTTTCAAGGTAATGTCTTGTTTGATGCATGGGCCAGCCTGGAGACTTGAGTCTCCTATTTGTATTTCCCTGCATTCCTGAATGATAGGTAGGCACCACCATACTCAGCCATTGTGCTGCTTCTTAGCTGGAATGACTAACAAATGTGTACCACTGGCCCTAGCCAGTGGTCAAGATGGAGTCTTGCATACTTTGTTTTTCTCCCCAGGCTGGCCTCAAACTATAATCCCTTGAACTGTGTTTCCTAAGTAGCTAGGGTTACAAGTTTGAGCCAATGCACACAGCTAGAGAACTTTAAAGTTTTTAGTGTTTTTTTTTTTTTTTTGTCGGTTGTGGGGCTTGAACTCGGCTTGGGTGCTATCCCTCAGCTCTTCAACTCAAGGCCAGTGCTCTACCGCTTGAGCCACAGCACCACTTCTAGTTTTCTAGTGGTTTATTGCAGATAAGAGTCTCATGGACTTTCTTTGCCTAGGCTGGCTTTGAACCGTGATTCTCAGGTCTCAGCCTCCTGAGTAGCTAGGATTATAGGCGTGAGCCACCGATGCCCGGCGTTTTTAGTGTTTTGACTGCTAACTTCATTTCTAAGATCTGTCCTAAGCTATTAGTGAGGAAGCAAATAAAATATTTACATAATATTTCTCATCATAGTGTTTTTAAAGAAGGGAAACCTTGTAATCACTTACATTCCTCAGTAACAAATTCTTCCTTAACTGGAAACGTATTCTATCATGAAATTATGTTTTTGATGGATAATTTAAAGAAGTGAAAAAATTCTGTTTTCATGAACTGGTATTACTAACGTAATATTGTTTATAGTATAATTCAGTATGCAAATGTAATGAAATAAAATTCTGTTACCTTTGGCGGTGGTATGTTAAGTTTTTTTCTCCCAATTTATGGTGCTACTTTGATAATAAATACATAAATACGTATATAATTTCAGAGGGAGGCACTGTTTAGATGGTTTAGAACCCAGCCCCCAGTGAGGCAGGCCTTGTTTAATTATTTGCTGCTTATTTACTTATGGACTTATTTTTTTTTAAAGGCAGTGTCTCGTGTATGTAGCCCCGATTGGGCTTCAAATTTACAATGTAGCCCAGGTTGTCCTGGAGATTTGATCCTCCTGCCTCAGCTTCCTGAGTGTTGAGGCATGCACTACTAGGTCTGGTGGCAGACCTAACTTGATCATGTTTTCCAAGCATTATTTCCTCAGCTGTAAAATGAGACTCCTAATGTCTACCCTACATACTTGTCAAGATTAGAAATGACAATATATATGACAGTCTTAAAAAATTACTATTTTATGTTAATTCTTGCAACAGTAACAACAAAACCAGTGAAGTCAGGTGGTAGAGGTAGCTTAATGGTGAAATATTTGGCCTAGCATGTGCTACTTAGCATATGTAAAACCATGGGTTCCATCCACAGCATTGTTAAACATCCTCAACCACAACAAAAAGCAACGAAGTCAACTCTTTACATTTCACTGAATGCATGTAAGAAACATCAAAACCCAAGTACATTAAGAGACTATATTATTAAGTATAATTGCTCTGAGTTATCCATAGAATATATTTCACTACAAACATAAATGGTAATAATTGTTAGGTATTTAAAGAGGCTGCTGAGTAAGAACAACACCACATACGTGGTATTCAGGGATAGGTAAGGGATAGGTTTATTCAGCAGACCGGCTAGCACCAGGCCAGGTTGACACTCCAAGCATCTGGGAAAGAGGCAATCTGGCCCCAGGCCATGCCTTGCCTTATATAGGGTAGGGACAGGAGAAGGTATGGCCACATCTGATCCAGGGAGGTGGGACCTGGTAAGGGGAGTGGGACCAGGTGGGAGAGAGGTGTGGCCACATCAGATCCAGATGTGACCTCAGCGGATTTGGAGGTGACCACAAGTGTGCTAGTTGCCTAGGTCACACAAGTACTGGAGACTTGGCCTCCAGGAGGGAGGAGTCTGCTTGCCATCCAGGAGCTGACCTTACAGTAATTAACTACAACTTGAATTTTCTGGCAAGAGAAATATTGTTTTCAGCTGCTGAATTTCCAGAGCAGTCATTTTTTAAACCATATATATCAAACAACCTTTTGCAACCTGTTAAATACAGTGAATTTGCTTCTTTTCTGAGTTTCTAGTATCATTTTCATTTCTCACATGAACAAAATGAGAAGTCTCCCAAATTAGGGTAATCTGTTCTGTGGTTTACATGAAGAGCCCTGATTGAGATGTCCAGCAAAGAGGGGTGCTCAGTAAATAGTAACAGTTCCTATTGGTTTTTCCCTAGAAGGTGTGTAAAAGAGCAGTCACTTCCTGGATGGCTTTGGTTTATGTAAACATTTTTGGGAAAAGGTGGTTTTCCAAATATGATTCAGTAAGTGGATCACTCCAGGCTATTTCTTGAGTCTTGTCTGCATCTGGGACTGGCTCTGGGCTTGCTTCAGGAGTTGGAGATTTTCTTCGTGTTTGCCCTACTAGTGCAACATCCTTTTTCCTCCACTGTAGGGCGCCAACATACTGCTTCACCTCCGGTGGAGTTTCTGAAGTTAGTTCTCACTCTGTGTAATTCCTAGCTTCAGGAGCCTTGTTTAGGCCTTGGAGTCAAGGCTTTGTCTCAAATTGCTTTGTGGTAATATATTCTGTCTTGGGTGTTTATAACTGCTTTTGTGGGATGTCCATCCTTTTTTAATATACTGTTAAAGATATCTTCTGGTGAATATGTTTTCATGACTACTTCTTATTTTATTCTAGCTACTGACCTACTTCTTGCCTGGAATCCCATTTGTTTGGGGTTGGTAGAAGGTGTTATTGGGAAAATTCAGCTTCATTCAGGTATGTTTCTAAAAGCTCTTTAAACTTGTGATAGTTAATGTAGCATTCTGTGACATTTTCCTGTTTGAGGATACATAGAAATTGTTACGGTTTTGATTACTTTGTCTTAATTTTGGGTCTGTTCAAAGTTGGTATATTTCTGAATAATTTAATGAAACAAAAGCAAAGAGAGAGAGCTGGGAATGTGGTTTAGTGATAGAGTGCTTGCCTAGCATGCATGGAGCCTTGAGTTCAGTTCCTCAGTATTACATAAACAGGTAAAGCCAGAAGTGGTGTTGTGGCCCAAGTGGTAGAGTAGTAGCCTTGAGCAGAAGAAGCTCAGGGACAGTGCCCAGGTCCTGAGTTCAAGCTCTAGGACTGGCCGAGAGAAAGAGAGAGAGAGAGAGAGAGAGAGAGAGAGAGAGAGAGAGAGAGAGAGAAAGAGAAAGAGAGAGAGAGAGAGAGAGAGGGGACATAGTATTAAAATCATTTTGTCCTTTTACTTAAAAATCTTCATTGAATGTCTGCTGTGTATCAAGAATTGTGCTTGTTGGTGTAACTTGTGAGCCAAATCCTTTTCTACCCTCATAGAGCTTACAATTTAAGAAAATATACAGATACAAATGCATATTAATTGAAATACATATATAATAATTTGAAAATAGATACTTTATGGGAAAGAATGGGAGGGATAAACTCAAAGTTGGAAGGTGATGACCTTTTGTGAACAATCCATTCAGCTCTGATTAGACAAGGGTAAGCCTATTTATATGTAGTATGATTTTTTTTTTTGTCGCTCATAGGGGCTTGGGCACTGTCCCCAGCTCTACCACTTGAGCCACAGCACCACTTCCTGTAGTATTATTATTTTAGAGACCTTTGTCCACAGCAGGCAGATTGATAGAAATTTAAGCCAGGCATTGGTGGCTCACGCCACCAGGCATTGGTGGCTCAGATCTCAGGAGGCTGAGATCTGAGGATTGTAGTTCAAAGCCAGCCCAGTCAGAAAAGTCCTTGAGACTCTTATCTCCAATCTCCAATTAACCACCAGGAAACAGGAAGTGGCTCTGTGGCTCAAAGTGAGGCAGCACTAACCTTGGGTGAAACAGCTCTGGGACAGCGCCTAGGTGCCACCCAGAGTTCAAGCCTCAGGACTGGCAAAAAAAAAGAAGAAGAAATTTTGTCATTCACCAGGCCCTTATCTGGACGGATAACTGTTTCCTAGTTTCAAAGGAAATTTGTGGGTAAAAAGTACAAGTGTAATATAGGTGCGTGTCACTGAACTACCTGTAAAGGGCTAGATGAAGTATTTTTTTTAAAGCTTTATACTTAAGTATCTACTTTCCATTAATGTCAGTTTTAATACAAACTTTGAACTATAAGAGGCTTTGCTATTATTGCTATATAATAAGAATACTATACTGATACTCTGCATGAGTATCAGTACCCCTATCACTTCAAACTATTTTTTTTTTTTGGTACTGGGGTTCAAACCCCAGACATTGTACTTGCTAGGCAAGAACTTTGCCATTGAGCTATATCTCAGCCCATATTCCTTCTTACATAGACCAAAATTTATACTCAGCAATCAGTTCTGGATTGTAAAAGAGGATTTGTATGTACTTGTAAGTGTCTGTTACAAATTAAACAGATACATATAATTGCTCTACATCTGTCTCTGAAGTGCCTTTTTATTAAAAATAAAATTGAATGTTTGGAAGCTATGTTGATGTGTGTGTGTGTGTGTGTGTGTGTGTGTGTGTGTGTGTGTGTGTGTGTGTGTGTGTGTGTGTGTGTGTGTGTGTGTGTGTGTGTGTGTGTGTGTGTGTGTGTGTGTGTGTGTGTGTGTGTGTGTGTGTGTGTGTGTGTGTGTGTGTGTATCTGTATCTGTGTATTTGAAGATAGGGCCCTGCACTTGGTAGATAGGCCCTCTACCAATCAAGCCACTCTGGCCTTTTTGTTTTGCTTTTAATTTAACTTAATTTAATTGTGTGTGTGTGTGTGTGAGTGAGTGAGTGAGAGAGAGAGAGAGAGAGAGAGAGAGAGAGAGAGAGAGAGAGAGAGAGAGAGAGAGAGAGAGAGAGAGAGAGAGAGAGAGAGAGAGAGCGCGAGCGGCTGGGTACTGTCTCTTTGCTTTTTTTTTTTTCTCAAGGCTAGCATTCTACCACTTGAGCCTCAACTCTACTTCTGGCTTTCTGCTGGCTAATTGGAGATAAGAGTCTCACAGTCTTTTAGGCCTGAGCTGGCTTTGAACTGCAGTCCTCAGATTTCAGCTTTGTGAGTAACTAGGATTATAGGCATGAGTCATTGGCTCAGCTTTCTTTGGTTATCTTTTAAGATGTTTTATGAAGCATTTTGTAAAGCTAAGAAACCATCACAGATATTAAGTACACATTGTTACATCTGTCTAACATATATGTTGTAAAGCTATCATTTAGAGTAAGAAGGGAAACATGACTTCAGAGCCCTCTCTACCTTCTCCGAATGTTTCCTTCATTGAAGAAAACTTAATATTTTGATTTTTTTCTTGCCCTCTTGATTTTCATTATTGCTTTTTGTGTTTGTTTTTGGTGCTTGATACATGAACTCGGGGTCTGGGTGCTGTCCCTGAGCTTTGTGCTCAAGGCTGGCACTCTACTATTTGAGCCATATCTCAATTTTTGGCTTTTTTGGTGTTTAATTGGAAAGAAGAGTCTCAAGGACTTTCTTGCCCAGGCTGACTTAGGATTGATCAGATCTCAGTCTCCTGAGTAGCTAGAATTACAGGTGTGAGCCATTGGCACCTGGCTCATTATTGGTTTTAATACATATATGTTCCTAAACAAGATGTTGCTAAGGTTTATATTTTGGACATTTGATAGATAAATAACATTAAAATTTTAGTATTCTTTCTGTTTTTATTTTTAATTTTTTTGAGTTTACCCATGTTAATGCATGGAACTGGAGTCCCTTAATTTCACTATTAGTTGAATAAATAATGATTTGTTCTTTTGCCTGTCACTGGGTAAGTTTGTTATATTTTTTGCTCATAGAATACTGCTGAGATTCATTGTATATTATGCCTTTGGTAGATTAATTTTTTTTCAACACAGAAGAGAAAATCATCATTTTATAACCATGCTAAGTTTTTTAATAACATTCTCCTACCTGTCCACATTTACATACATATATTTTTAATTCATTTACATGCTGACAGGATAATTTTACAGCTAGTTCTTCTGAGCTAAAATTCGTTTCTATTATTTAAATGACATGTATGAAAGTTCTGAATTATTTTTCTTTAATTTCAGTCACGTCCTGGTGAAGTGAATAATCACTGAAATCAGGAGAACAGGATTTGAGCTCTGATGATTAGCTTTGAGACAAAGGAGAGAAGTTACCTAATATCTGTTTCCTTTATCTATTGTGTAATATGCTATCCTAAAAGTTAATGGCTTAAAACAGTAGCAGTGGATCTTCTTCATGGTTCTGTGGATGCGCAAGTGGTTTTTCAGTTCTCTTCTGTTGGCTGTGGTCCTTCATGAAGCAGCATTCCCCTTGGAATTTACCTGGATTTACCACTGTTTGACTTCATGTGGTCTCTCTCCCTGGGTCTCATCTTACAAGACCTCTCCTCAAATCCTTTTCTCTCTCCCTCCTAGAAAACCTGGACAACTTTTCAGGGTGGTGGCTGGGTATGTTAGTCAAGTGCTCTACACCCTCAGCCTGATCACCTTCTTTTTTTTGTGGAGCCTGAAATCTGGGTGCTGTCTCTCAGATCTTCAGCTCAAGGCTAACACTCTACCACTTGAGCCACAGCGCCACTTTCGGCTTTTTCTGCGTAGGTGGTACTGAGGAATCCAACCCAGGGCCTCATGAATGGGAGGCAAGCACTCTACCACTGAGCCACCTTTCCAGCCCCTGACCTAATTATTTCTGTAGGGTTTTATGAGCCCCAAATGAGATAATATACCTGAAGGTTCTTACTAAATTACAAATCACTACCAAAATTCCTTTTTTAATATAAAACTAACAGATTATGTAAATAGGGAACCAAAGGGACCAAAATCAGGAGTGGATGTTGTACAGGTCTGCAATGACTTCCTTGGGGCAGGTGGTCTCTGACTACTGTCTCTCTACAGCTCCTTCATTCTTTTTTCCTTTTGACTATCTCTGTTGGTGTGTATGTAGGGGAAAAAATGTTGCCCTTAAAATAGCAACCTTAGCTCTCAAACTACCTACCATTTGAGGTCCCATGTAATTAGTGGAGATTGATCAACAATCAAAAAGAATTGATTAGGGAGTCAGGTTCAGACACTAAAAACATTTATCAGCCAGTGTTCTCCACCTCTCAAGTCATTTGGTTCAAAGTGTCCCTACAGGACTACTTTTCCATGTGGGAGAGAAAATCAGAGTATCAAGTTGTGTTCTGTCACCAGTATACAAATTTAAGTTGATAGCTTCTGAATTCATGATACAGAGAGCATGTAGTCATCTGTAGTCAGCCTTCATTTCTATGTTCTTCCCCTCCCATCGCCTGCCTTTCTTTTTTTTCTTTTCTTTCTGCCTTTTTTTTTTTTTTTTTTTTGGTTGGTTGTGGGGCTTGAACTCTGGGCTTGGGCGCTATCTCTCAGCTCAAGGCAAGCGCTCTACCACTTGAGCCACAGCACCACTCCTGGTTTTCTAGTGGTTTATTGGAGATAAGAGTTTCACAGACTTTCCTGCCCGGGCTGGCTTTGAACTGTGATCCTCAGATCTCAGCCTCCTGAGTAGCTGGGATTACAGGCGTGAGCCACCGGCGCCCGGCTCTTTACCTGCCTTTCTTTAGCCCCCAAACAGGAGGCTGATAGCCAATAAAAGTACCTATAATATAGAATATTTTGGAAGAGAGACAGATGAAAGAAAGTAAATAGGAGAGAGAAAAAAGAAAAGTAGATAAAATTTCTTAATTTTTCAGTATCTTGGAGACACTTCCTCTGCTCTTCTCTTGTCATACTACTTAACAGGCTTGGTCTGAAGAAAGTGAGTAAGAAGGAAAGGAA